GTCGGGCCCTGAGGTGAAGCAGCGCCTGTTCCCGGGTGAGAACCCCGCTCTGCGCAGGGTGGGGGCTCCTGGGGCGCTCCGTTCGCCCCGGTGCCCGTGCATCACCTCGGCGTTGCTCTTCGCGGACGTTTCCTCTCGGAGAGGAGGGAACTTGTGCGAGCGGGCGGGTTCTTGCTGGCCGTGTGCTTCGTTTGTGCTGAGAGAAATCTGTGTCAGGACCGGGCGCTGCCTGGCAGTCCCGCTGCGCCGGCCGGGGCGGTGCGAGGCACCGGTCAGGCGCCGTTACTGCCCCGGGTCCTGTCCTTTGTAGGAACACGTTTGCGTTTGTGATGATATTACCATAATAGTGGTGGCAAAAAGCAGGGCTGTCGAAGGCCATGCACTCGCCTGCTTGGTGTTTTTCAGCAGAGGAAAACGTCTTAATGTGGTTTAGTTGTAGTAGCAGTGGGATGCTGCTGGGAGCAGGCTCTTCAGTGGTTTGTTCTGTCAGTCGTTGCATGGCTTTCTGATTGTTGGCTTTGCTGAAGTGGCTGAAGCGTTGTTGTAACTTTTCATGCTGAACAGTAAAGTCTTCTGTTACGTTATGGAAGAGGGATTGCTGCTGTTTAGATTTAATTGCTCTCCAAACCTGGCGAGCTCTGATTTGTGTTCTGGACTGTAAACTGCCTTGAAAGCAACACCGAAGACTGCTTTTCTTGAGAACAGTCTGATTACAGATGTTCTTAAAGTAAATGTTTTAAAGCAATGAGAAATATTAACTTAAATTCTGTACTATACCAAATGATATACTTCAGTCTATGCTACTTAAACTGACTCAGTGAGAGGTTTCTTTTCAGTAAAACAGACAGCGTGAGCTGGTTTTATTTCTCTGTTAGCTATGGAAGAACTGTATGTATGCTAAACAATCATACAGAATCCCCTATAATGAATTTATTTTTACACCAGGCAAAATGCCTGCTCCATCGAAAAGCCATCCGTAGCCTTACGCACGTGGTTTTTCACTTGATCTGCATAGGTTAACATTTACAAGACTGTAATTGATAGCCTGTATTTGCTATGGATGTATCGGTAAAGTTAATTTTGAGACTATGAGAGTTTTTGTGTTCCTAATCTTTACAGAATTGCTGTCTGATCAATAGATTTAATATCTATTTTTTGTGACAGCTTTATAGTTCAGGACATTTCAAAAAAACCTCGCAAAATAAAGCACAAAATTTTGCTCAGCTAATAATGCTGAGTAACTTCTTCCTTCTGCAGTGCAGTGAATGGGGAGAATAATAATTACTTCCTTTTGCCTGTAACGAAAAAGAGTATATCTATATTGTAGGAGTTTCTATTCTTCTTTTTAGCTATAGCTTGAATTAAAGTGGACTGCAGCTCCTGAGGCCTCATAATGAATCCCCTTATCTTTTAAAGTGTAACAGGACTTCTTTTTTCTACTTGCTAATTACTCCATAGGATGTAGTTTTCAGATGTTTAGAGAAAAAATATACAATTGTAAGGTTCTGTGCCTCCCCAGACTGTTGTGGGTCTTGAATTACTTTTTGTAGCAGTCACTGTATTGCAGCACCTAAGATAATTTACATTTTTCTTATTAAGTACTGTTTCATATCTATTATCATCTAAGGTTCTTCAGATATTAATACAGGGCTGAAAGTACTCCCACTGTCCCGGAGTTATGTAGTCCCACCCACACATGAGGACTCCAGGAAGTAATGTCAGGGATTGCTGGTGATGTGGCAAAAACGTTGCTGCTTCTGTCTTGAACTGTAAAACTTAGTTGAACTGAAATGAAAAGGAAAATAAAGATCTTAAATTAGTAGCAGAAGCATGTACTAAAAATAATTCCCTTGGTTAATTTTTTACCTGAGTTCAGAATCCTGGCCCCTTTACTGTACAGTTTTGCTCATGCATAAAAGTTTTCTGTGACTGCTGGGCTCTTTGAGAGATAGATGAAGTCATTGAGTAATTCTGGCCGTGGGCAGTGTTTTGGTTTAGGTACTTGTGGTAGAGTTTTTGGTCTGTAACCGCTCGTGTACAGAGTCCTGAGCTTTAACTTCTTCACTGTCTAGATACTGAGTATTTAAAAATCCTAAGCAACTTTAAAAAAAAAAAATACTTATTTTGGTTTTGTTCTTTGCCTTGGAAACTGAGGTGACAAGAGGGTGGTGCTGCAGTTCGTATCTCGATGCTTAGCTGTTAGAATTCAGCTCCTGCCTGCTCGAGGTGAAGATGTCTAACAGGGCTCACTCCTGCATTTCTGTGTGGGCTTGTTCCCCCCCGAAATGGATTGGATCCTGTCTTGCTTTCGTAAAATACTTTATTCTTTGCTTTCTTGACAATTTCTTTTGGAATAAATGTCCCCTCTTTAAGAATACTTCATTAAAAAATAATTTGTTTCAAACAGGGCAATCCAAACGGGTATCATATGTGAATGCTGGTTCAGATAATGTACTGTAAAGCTTCCCTGACCTTAGATTTTTGTTTTAAATGTTACCTGTGTGTCATGTCTTGTTTCCACAGCAACCATGTCAGAAGGGGACAGCATTGGTGAGTCTGTTCATGGAAAGCCTTCTGTGGTCTATAGATTTTTCTCAAGACTTGGACAGGTTGGTTTTCTGTAGGGTTTTTCTGACTCCGTTAGAAGCAGGTCTCAGTGCAGCTTCTTAGACTCATTACTTTTTGGATGAGTTGTTGAAATACTAAAATCTGTGCAAAAGATTTCTTTTGAAACCTTTTAGAAAACAGATAACATAATTCATAGCTTAGTGGAATATTTAATGTGCATATATGTGACATACTACAGTGAAAATATATGTTATTGTCAAAAATGAGGAGTGACATGAGATTTCATGTCGAATTCATCTCAAGAAAAGTAAATTTGCATAAAATATTGGAAAATTTAAATTGGTTTACAATGTCCTGAGCATTAGGAAATTATCTTTTTTGCCTTTGTAAAAATACAGAACTTTTCAAATGCTTGCAAGTATGTTTATGTGCAATTAAATTTATTTGTAATGAAGAATACAAATGTTTTATGTTACTTTCCTTCCCAAAATACTCTTCATAAATGCTTACTATTTCTAATGCTACCGTGTAATAAAAATTATTCATTGTGCATCGTGTATTTTACAGATGTACACTTTATATTTTTTCCTAGATCTACCAGTCCTGGTTAGACAAATCTACGCCATATACTGCGGTGCGATGGATTGTAACTTTGGGTCTGAGTTTTATCTACATGATTAGAGTTTATTTACTGCAGGTAAGAAAACTGGATTTACTGCTAAAGTAGTTTTAGATATCATTACTGTTTTGTTTTTTGTGTTAAGATAGTTTTTGAAGCATGGCATTACTTTGGAATGACATACAGTATCATTTAGCACAGAGGAGAAGGTAAATAAGTCTGAAGAAGGAACACATCTTGTTGGTGTTAAACTTACTGCTTCAGAGTGGAGAATGGGCAAATGCTTGAGGGTATTCATCTCATAGCAACAGAAAGTGGAAATACTGCTTTAGTTCTGATGAAGTTACATAATAAACCTCTGAAAACTGTTGAGATTAAGATTTTATTTTTAAAGCTGTGTAACAACACGTTCCGGAGCCAGTGATTACCTTCTGCCATGCAAACTGTACAGAATTGCTTTTTCAGGGTTTTTATCGCTGCAGGCCAGCGGCAGGCCGGTTCTCCACTGCTCAGGTGCCCCCTTCATGCCAATCCGCAGTTCAGTTAAGGAATTGAGAATTCTTATTCCAAAAACTGAAGATTACAGATTGAATGTGAAAGCTGTGCAGGTGGTAGTAACAGGAAGATTTAAGAGACTGAAGCCGGCAGAGATGGTTAAAAGAGTGGTGGTTTTACGCTGTTTACTTCTTTCATGCTGCTTTTATGGTGTCAACATCTTGAACGTAGAGACTGGGTGCCTGAGAACAGCTTCCATGTTAGATCTGTCAATATGTGAGGGATTTGCACTGCTCGTGTTCTGAGGCTTGTTTTGATTAATGTATTAGGTTTACCTTAGTGTACCTTGGAAAACACGTAGCTTAAAAAGGCTAATAGATTTTTTTTTTTTTTTTATCTTGCTTATTTGTATTGCAGTCAGTTTAGTCAGTATTTAGGTAGCTTTAAATGAAAACTGTTACATTTGTTATCTGTCAGTACACAAATGAAAGAAGTAGATTCATAAAGGTGATTTCATCTTTTCATAGAGTCAGAATGCTTATCTTGTACAGTCGGACTTTTAAAAATTTCTTTAACAAGTCCAGAAAACTTTTTGTGTTAATGTGAGGATGTAGAAAAGCACTTCTCAAGGAAGCAAAAACCAGGTTGCTTAATCTTGTTGAAAAATCAGTGTCTGAAGGTGGTTTTCAGGAATACTTTAAGCTTCGCTCTTTTTTCTTCCCTGCTTCAGGGTTGGTACATTGTGACATACGCCTTGGGAATCTACCACCTAAATCTCTTCATAGCTTTCTTGTCGCCAAAGGTAGACCCCTCTTTAATGGAAGATTCAGGTATGATAAATAGTTAATTTTCTGATAATTTGGAACTTAGTCAAACTTCCAGCTCTTTTTGTCTGATACAGTAGTGTAAAGATGCGCAATTTTAGCGTGACATTGTATTTATAGAGTTGCAAAAAATCTGTAGAACTTGACATCAGGAGTTACTATAAAATTTGTCTTTTTTTTTTTTCCTGACTTGAACATTCTCCATATTGTATTAGTTTTATGTGACTTAAGTTCTCCCCACAGAAACTCAAGTGACCTGGTGCTCATGTCTGTTATGTATTTTCTTTTGGGAAACCAATGTGAAGTTACATTAAAACAGCCACTGTAACTGAAATCTGTGTGTAACAGTGAGAGTTGGGGTTTTTTGTTTTGTGGTTATGGTTTTGGGTGTTCTGGGTTTTTTTGTTTTGTTTTTTTTAAGGTAAAACCTAAAAAAGTCTGAATGGTGTGGAAAGTTAGTGTGAGGGGTTTGTGGTTTGGATTTATTTTTTCTGTTTTTTTCAGATGACGGTCCTTCCTTACCTACAAGGCAAAATGAAGAATTCCGGCCTTTCATTAGAAGGCTCCCAGAGTTTAAATTCTGGTGAGTGGATCCGTCTGCCCATGCTCTGTTTTTGAAAAACATAAAATGTCTGCATCAAATTAGTGGTAGCTGGGGTCGAAGGATTAATTGTTACTATTATTTTTAAGGCACTCTGCCACTAAAGGAATCCTGGTTGCTATGGCATGTACGTTCTTCGAGGCGTTCAACGTTCCTGTTTTTTGGCCAATCCTTGTGATGTACTTCATTATGCTATTTTGTATCACTATGAAGAGGCAAATCAAGGTAACTTGCCAAGAATAGATAGTAGCATTTTTGATGTCAGAATTTGCAGTATTGATCCAAACTGTCCATCCAATTAAGCACTTAGAGATATTAAATGTATTGCACCTAGTTCTTCGCCAGAGGAACTTGAACACCTAACACTTGAACGTGTTAGTGTTGCATATTTGCAACTTTGAGCAAATACTGACAATCGGAAACAAGAATGCTTGGTTAAAGAAGTCTTCGTACATTACAAAATTCTATGCTTGCTTTCAAAAGGTTTCGATCTTAGATCTGAGTATCGGGGTTTTTATACATGATGAGTCTTCTAATTTCTCATCCGCCTCCTTTCTTTGGTTAACTATGGCTATTTTTAATTAAGAGATCTTGTAGGATATCTGATGGGTGGAAAGGGAAGTTCTGAGAAGTTGATGCGAGAAAGGAGATGGAGAGAAGGGGGATAAGAACATAGGCAAGTCATTCAGACCATTTTTAACAAATTACTTATGGTTTGTTGGCATTTTAAAAGAAGAACGATTTTTTTTTCCCAGACATTCAGAATTTTGGATGGGTACTGTTACTCAAAGTTGTAAATTAAAGATGAAAGGGTAGTAAAGAACTAATACGTCTATGCTCTCTCCAGTTTCCTGTGATCCCCCAATCAGTAATCTTCACTGTACTGTGTAAGTTGTTGGGTATACCCAAATTTGCAATTTGTAAGATTAGGCTCATGCCCCTATTTTGATGTAAACTGGGGTATGATTAGCTAGTTCATTACCTTTACACTACTGAAGAACTGTCTTTCCAGAGGACTTTGTAATTTATAATGTGTATTATACAACATTTTTGTAAATGTTCGGTAAGTTTCTTGCCTCAAAAATTGTTTTTTTTTCTCTTTACAGCACATGATAAAGTACAGATATATACCTTTCACACATGGCAAGAGGAAATACAAAGGGAAAGAAGATGTGGGAAAGACCTTTGCTAGCTAGAAGATGCAATCAACCTGTTGACCAGTTCTACTTCTAACTAAAGGAACGATTTTGAGCCATTGTAACAATGCCTTTTTTCTTCATAAAAAATGATTAACAGAGTGGTGACAAAGCAGTTGAATTTTCATTTTAAGAGGATCTTGCTGTTTTTATCTGAACTATCAGTTTCTTGAAGAAACTGGCATTCTAACCAAATTGCATTGAGTTTATTATCTTTTGTAAGAAGTTGGAGAAACTTTGGATAATCCCATGGATTTGGGGTAATGTATTTCTTCAAAGATCCATTGCACTGGAGAGATTAATGGCTTAGAGTTGGATATTTTTACATAGTTCTCCTGCTCAATATCACCCTGAAGTGCTGTGCACATATGTGGAGGAAAAATGTAAGATGGCACACGTGATGCTGTTTTCTGCTTCATGGCCGTGTGCTACTTTCATAGAAAAATACAGTAGACCTAAGTAGATGCAGAACTTAAGCCAGTTTCCTAAATGCATGGTATTACTGAGTTATAACCAAATATAGGTAGGAATAAGAAATCTACTGAATTACGCAATTTGCAGTAGGGAGAAAATACTCATGTAGCTTCTGAAGTAACTCCTTTGTGTTGGGTTTTAATGCCAGTTTCACCATTACATCTCCTAGCAGGTGCTAAAATTGGGCTCTTTTGTGATGACTCAAAACTTTGTCCAAACTATCACAATTTCCTTTGAGGACCTGGAATTATAATTGTTATTAGATGGAATTTCTTTCATATGTAAGAGTTTCTTGATTAATTTAAGGTGAGTTCATGCAGCCCCTTCTGAATATACCCAAACTGGCCATAGCAGACAAACGGTGTGGGTTTTGACACAGCTTTTCATTTTCTATGGGGAAAAAAAAAGAGATAAATGACCTGCATGTGAACTTTTTCATGTGATACAACTGCAGTTTTATTAAGTGCTTTTTAATTCCAAAATTTATTAAAAGACAGTGTCCCCCTTTACTTGTTCTCTATCTTTATATAGATACATTGATCTAACAGTGTTTATGGCTCCTTTTCAGTAATGGTTCCCTTCAGTTTATCTTCATGCAATGTCTTTTTCAACTCTTCAGGGAGCATTCACTTGCAGAAAGTAGGAAAAGATTAGCTCTTTGAAGATTCTTAATGGAGAATAGTGGCAACTTCAACAGACACCTAATTGGAAAATGTATGTAGGAACCCTTTCATCTGATTTTGCCAAGTGAAGTCATGGAGCTCTGGAATTCAGCTTTCAGTAATCCTGGGAAAATCACAGGTAGTTTTAGTTCACATCGACCTGTTGGTTTTTGTTTGTTTGCCTGTGTTTGTTTTATTAGCAGCATGGAAACTAGTAACGTCAAAATTTAAAATTATGGAAACACAGTACGCAGAAGGGGCCTTATAAAAGTGCCAGTCATGGATGCTTGCAGTTCGTTGCCTAAAAATCTGAAAGCCCTGACTTGGAGAAGCTGTCTTCAGGTTTGCTGGAGTTTCTGAATAATATGGGCAAATGAGAGAGAAAAATACGATGTTTATTACGTTTGTTAAAATTAGCAACTGGGATGACTCTTACTAAACAACAGAGTGTTAACAACATCCATTGCAAATTAAACATTTTAACCTCCACTTAATTTCCAACTGCAGGGGCAGCTGGCGATTTGTGCCTTCTCGTTAGGCATAGGCATCTCACTAGGTAGGCGTAGGTGCTCTGCGTTCAGTGGGATTAACAGTTTTTCAGTATGGATTGTAGATGATGGTGGGACAATGGTATGGTTCCCTAGATGATTCTCAGCATGCAATGGCCAGGCAAGTTTGATGGCATTTCGTTACACTTTGCGCTATTTTTGTCACTTACAAGCGCTAAAAATAAATTACCATTGCAGAATCCATGAAAAACTTGGCTTGACAGCTTCACAAGTACTTCCCAGTCATCGACTGCTTCCTATTTATTTTTACGTGCAACTAAATGTTTTTCCTTACTCTTTTCTTAGTAGGGAGATCAGGCAGTGATTTCCTTAGGTAGTCATGTGCCGATTCGTGGTATGGACCATTTTTCTTCCACATTGACAGGTTTAAATAGGTGAGGGATGTCTGAATGTTTTCTGGTGTAAGAAAGGGATGGTATTGCAGCTCTGAAAATCACTTTTGTACAGTAATGATGAAGTGTTTGCGTAGTTACCAGCAACTATTTTTTCTTATGATGAAAAGTTAAAATAATTTTATTGGAGTTTTTTATGATAACACCTGGAGATTTAATTGTTAACCAGCTAACCAGGGTCTCTGCAGTACAAATAACCATCTTAGAAGTGCTCTTACTGTAGCACGCCTCCCCCTGCCACCTCAAGTCCACGTTCAGTGCCATCTGTGAAAGATTTATTGGAACTGTAACTCATGATCCGCAGAGTGGATCATCTGGCTTTTTCTCCCTATCTGTATTTGAAGAATACGAATAAATTGATCTTGTATATCTTCTATCATGCACGAATGATAAGATATGTTAACAGCTAACAATCTTCTTTTTCCCTGCTGCTCCAAATACTTGTATAACTGAACTAGTAATAACTTCCGGGAATAAACCTTGGCGAGGTGATGCTGCCGAATCCCTCCTCCTTTATACTCTAAAATACTGGCTTAGCTGAAATAGCCCCTGTTGCCATAAAGAGGGGAGAGGGTCCTGTGGCTGGTCAGCTTCTTCACTGTGTTAGACTGTAGAAAACACCACCCAGACAAAACTTCAACCGTGTTACAGAACTAACATTTTATAGTTGACCTTTGTTTCTATTAGTGTATGTACTTGGGGTTTTTTGAAACGACGCTTGTTACATTGCTCTAGTCTAAATGTCTAGAATACTTGATGAAAAGTCTTGGTATCTAATAGTGATAGAAAGCTTTGAGTTTGGAAGCTGCATGTTAATTGATCAGTGTGCCGCCTTGTCTGCATTACTGTGGGTTTGCATTTGTTGCTTCTGTTGATCCAAAGGAAATTCAGTTTGTCAAATCAAGGAAACCTGCTTTATTATTAACCTTGTTATGAAAACAAGAGTGGTACATGACATACATTTATCATCAGAACTTGAACTGCAGTTAAACTAAAGATCTGTATCCAGCTTTTGTCCTTTTTCCCCTGAAATCGACCATATGGACTCATTATTATGTAATAGGCGAAGGGGAGTCTTACAAATCGTAGAATTTTACTAATACCTTAAGCATGCTATGAAAGATTGGAAGACTCGTGAGCCACACTTACATTTAGAGAATGAGAATCTGGTTTCAATTTTTCATTGTCCAAAGTGAGGAAAACTGACATGTGTGTTAAGTACTTAGACATAGCTTTAATATGGTCAAGGACCACATTAGAAGAAACAGAAGGGTAGAGGCAGAAATAGATTTATTCTGTAAAACAGGCATGAAGTGTGCCACCTTGCACAGGCAGTTACCAGTTTTATAATAAAGTCTTTTTCTTGGACTAACTCAAGCTGTACAGCAACTTCACAGAGGGTGTGAGAGCTGAGGCCCTTGTGAAACAGCATCGATTTTTTCTTTTACAGCTGATAGTGACGTAGGTAGATCAGTTTCTGAGGAGGAAACTTCTCTCTGCACAATGGACATTCTGTCTACAAAAAGAAAAGAAATAGATGTACTGAACTGATGTATTTAAAAGTTAAAAAAAATCCAAATATAACTGTTTAGCTATTGCTAGAAAATAATCAGCATCCATAACTAAAGATTTTTTCAGGCCAGTTTGTGATGCAGGCTTAACCACGTAAAGCATTCTAAGCTAGCCTAATTTAAAGAGCAATTTGAGGTGACACGGGTGCTTAAAATATGACCTTAAAACCATGGTCCTTGGAGCCAGCATACAACACCTTCACTTGGAAGTAACCTCTTCATCTTCGGTAAAAGTGAACTCTCAGATTTTTACCTTCAGGGAACAAAGCCTGTCTAGCAAAATCACTCAGGTGTTCACTGTTTTATTCAAATATTCCATTGCCCTTGAATAGTGCTAAGTAATGCTGCCATATACTAATTTCAGAGGTAATGTGTGGTTTATTTTCCTTCTTCATACTAAAGATAATTTCCTTTATTTTTACTTGCAGCTGAACTTTATTGCCATCTTTACCCAGAGTATCTAGTATTGCATTGTGCATGTTTACTCAAGTTTATTGCAGGCCAGTTGCACTGCAGAGTTCACTTGTCTTAGGATTGCAAGCAGTTTTTCTCAGTTGCTTTGTCCTCAGTTTATCATAGGCAGTTTCCCAACAAGGACCATGCTTTTACCTGCTATTTAACAAGCATTTCCTGAAGCAGTAAGCCAAAACAAACTGGATGGATTCTTAACAGTTCTTTTGGTGTTTGGTTTTAATATAGATGGCAATACTACTTCTTCAGTTAATTTTGCTAGCACGTGGAATCAGAAAAACCTACAGTTAGAGCCATTATGAGGAAACATTTATTCCTGTACACTAGAAGTAGTATTTAAAGATGCTGACTGTGTGTTATAAGATACTTCTAGTTCTCTGAATCAGAGCTCTTAAATTTTTGTGTCTTTGCTTGGTGAATCCAGTAGGAGAGTCAAAGGATTTATTAGGTCAGCACATTCCAAAAGTCTGAAAGTTACTAAAATGGTAACAATTTTTGTCAGTGCTAAGAAAAAACAAGCTTATATCTCTGTCTGAAAGAAAAAATCCTGTACCATGGATGCTGAACTGCTCTCCGAGTAGTAAATTAGTCACCAAGCCTTTAGGGCAAACAGTAAGGTGAAGATGCAGTTACAGTGAATGGATGTTTTCGATCTGAAGTACCACTGTGTAATGCACTTTTAATGCTGTCTACCTACAGATATGTGCATCTGGGACAGCTTCAGAGTGTACGACGGTGCAAAAAATGGCCTCAAATAAATGACCTCTAACAAATCTAGCTCTACTGTCAGCCAGTACTCACACTGAAAACTGACAACTGAACTTGTCTGTAGCCTTCTAAGTGTACTTCTGTTACATTCAGATTTCTGTTGCCTCCAGATTATTTGAAGATACTTCAAGCAGGGAGTCAGCAGGGCAATTTCTAATGCTAACTCATTTGAAGTTCCTTCTTAGTTTTCCAGTCAGAGGTGTTACAGGAAGCGAGGACTAATCTTCATTCTAGAGTACAAGAACAACTTTTTTTTAATTGATAGCCAATCACATAAGGGACCAAATGAGCTTGAGTACGGCCACAGTGCAAAAGGATCATTTACCTGAATTATTCTAATCAAACTTTGAAAATGCATGTGAAAACTTTAGTTCGTGATGCTTCAGCTTCCTACTGGAAACTATAAAAGTTCTGGGAGGTAGATATAAAATCCATTTTGCATCTGCTTGCTAATTATCAGCTTTGAGTGATCACCCCACCTCCCCGTACTTGATTTTAAAGTGGACTAAGTTTTTTGCTTTTTAATTTCAGATTCATAAGAAGGCAGTACTCAGGAGTTAATATTGTATTAAGGTTATTCAATAATCTTCATTATATTTTTCATCAAATATCACATTCTGAACACTGTAAGTGATAGGAAATCTGTCTACAGGAACTATTCCTCTAACAACGCGCTTCTTCTGATAGCTGTCTGGTTAAGAAAATGGTCTAGATCTATTTCTGTTACAGTCTAGCAGGATAGTTCCAGTTTAAGGGCGTCTCTTCAGGTACCTGCTTTGGGGACATTGATTCCCAGCCCAGCAAGTCAGTTTTCTGGAGGGAGCCCCTGCTAGCTTTCAGTTCTGCATCGCTGTGTAGTGAACTTGTGCATCCAGCTGAAACTTCTTAACGTCTGCTGCCTCCATTACATTTCTCTTTCAGAAACAAACAGCTGATAAGCTGAAAAATGGTAACTGGAGTGGCAAGTGGTATGGTTTGTGTTAGACAAACTATGGTTTGTTTGTTGTGTTTTTTTATAAAGGATTACATAAATCTGACTACCCAGTAAGAAAAGCATCTATTTTCACAACCTTCCAAAACACATCTGAGTAATTCAGTAGATTATCACTCCTTCCCTGCAGCTAGATGAAAGTTTCTGCCACAGCTTCTGACAGCATTCAGGCAAGACTGATGAACACTGGCTAGGTCTTTACAAGCAAATCTGAAGTGACTCGAGTTGTTTGCTGGTTTGTGTAGGGTGGTGTTAGCAAGGCAGTAACCCATCACAAGCTGCATTCCAGTTTGTGTCTTCACATGGTGTATCTGTCATGGAACTTAACAGCTTGCATAGCTGTAACCTTGGTGCATTTAAATACTTGCCTTCAGCTATAGTGATTTTAATCCAAAGACCCATTTTTGATCTTACAGAAATTCTGAGAAATTGGATTTGCTTGATTCTGTTCCACCACACAGCCATACTAGTATCGGTGTAGGAAAATTTAAGTAGATCACACCACCCATTTCTAAAACAGCTGCAGGAATACATCTGAGTTATAGCACAGACATAGCCTCTGTGACAAAGATTTTACTTGTAAGTAACACTTGATGCCTTTTTTCTGGCAAGCAGTTTTCACTCTTTAGAGAAAATAAATGGACAACATCTATAAAACCCTTACTGAATGAAAATTCTGTTGTATTTCATTAATCCAGAGCAAAATCCAGCTTTAAAATCACATGCGTATGAGCTAGCTCAGGTTGGTTGTAACTTACTTACTCTTATTTACTGGAAATCACATGAAGAAGGCTTCAGAACACTATCACTTGTGTTGTTTCTTTGCAGTCAGAACTATAGCCTATGTCTGTAGATCAAGGAATTACCTTCATGTCTGGGGACAGAAAACTGCTCACCTTGGTTACCTCACCTAAGTCATGCGTAGTCATTCTATTCTAATAAAATATACAGGTCCTGGTAAAGTGCCGTGTGGGCATTTTGGGTGCCTTAGTGACAGAAAGGGTTTTATTTCAACACCCAGGCTGACAGGTATTTTCAAGTAGAAATTTCATCACGTTTCCCCCTTCCAGCCTCCATGTGTCCTTCTGTACTCACCCTGGTGTTGCACCACTCCGTAATGCATTCCCAGCAGAACAGGTGGCCGCAAGGTGTGGCTGTCGCGTGTCTCCGTTCTTCCAAACACAAAGTGCAGCGGGAGTGGCGCCCAGCAGTTTTCTCCTTGGTTGTAGTTCTAGTTAACATAGTTACATATTACTTAATTTTATTTAGCCTGTGTGTAAGAAACATTTGATAACACAGTCCTAAAGTAAACACCACCTTCAAGTATTAAGCCTTTTTGTGAAGCTCTCAAAGCCATGAAATCTAAGACATGCTTAAAACATTGAGGAATGCATCAAATGTTAAATTATTAAGGTTCTAACTTAAGTCAAAGTGTCACTCCAGTGTTCTCCCCGTTTGTGAAAGCTGTTACATTTCCCACCATTGCTTCCACCTCTTCCCTAGTAAGTAAAAATCAACATACTTCTGATGAGCTAGGTTACGGTGTAGTTTCCATTCCTGCCTTGCTCTCTGCTTCCGTTTGAAGCTGTACATCTGAACACCAATTGTCAGAAGAAGATGGAAGAGTGAAATTATTCCAAGAAACTTGTAACTTGATCGAATACTCTGATCTTCTCCTTGCAGTCCTCCAAAATGCAGCTACGTAGTTCACAGAAATAGAGAAGTTTCGTTACTGTGGTTTTATGAAGCTATGCCCTCCCTCCCCCAAGAAACTCTTGCTCATTCGTATCACAAAAATTGACGTGTTTCTAGGCCTTATCAGCGTGCAGTCTCTCAGGAGATCTAAGGTGTCCTGCATGCATCTGTCAGTCAGTCAGGCTACACAACTGCTCTTTGTGCAAGGATCAGTTGTCTTGCGTTGGCCGTCTGCCCATCAAAACTGCTGCTGTAATTGGTTTGGTTTTGTTATGTAGCTCTGAGCAAACAGTCAAACACCTCTTTTCCACAGTGACATTGGGAATTGTTGAGGAGGCTTCTGTCTATACACATTTCTGGGCCAGTGGCTGATGTTTTTTGAAAGATACTTACTGAAAAGACCATATGAATTAAGCTCTACATATAGAAAAATGCTGTCTAAACGTGTACTGATTTTTGTTCAAAACTCTCTTTTATTTCCCATAGATTTATTAAGCCGCTTCTCACTTTTTGTGTATTTGTAGAAGACGGACTGGACTAGATAGTGTTCTGAAGTTACATAGGGTATTAACTTCTGACATTGCATTCGCATTTATTAGCCATAACCTTTCAACTGCAGGGACTCATAACCCCTCTGCATAGTGCTAAAAACTTTCCTCTCGCCCAGTCTGCTCTGCCCATAATATAATCAGCTACAGCCAAATTCTGTATTCCTTTTACACACATAGCATCCCAAAAGAGGCCAAAATACTGCAGTGGACACCATCTCCAAACAAGAAATACACCCACTTACATACGTGATTCCTGTGATTCTTTTAGACAGGTGATAAAAAGTGCCCCTTATGTAGAATACTGCCAGATGTAGTCGATGAAGCAAAGGTATGCATTGCTTAAGAACATACACAATTTGTAAAACTGTTTTCTTCTGCTGTTCTGTAAGCTCCCCAACTTGTTTCTGTATCCAGTTTCGCATTAAGGTCCTACTGGATAAGCCAAGCGCTGGGTTGCTCTGCGAGGTTCTGGGCTCATCAGCTTCTCTCTGCAGCTCGTGTTCCAGATGCAGTAATCCCTTTTCTAAGCAATAAGGTACTACAGTATGAAGAGAAACGAAGATGGCCCGCCGAAGAAAGGAAGGTACCCTTTTCTTGGTAGAGTCAACTTGAACAATGTTAACGTACTCTTCACCCAGCGTCTGGTAACCTAAATAACGTGCGTAACGGAAAACACGCAGGGTCAGATGGCAATTGCAGTGACATTCCCTCTATGGCTGAGCAGTGGCGACCAGCTGCTCCGCTCAGAACACATCAAGTTTCAGAAATAGTTGCATTTTTTGTGTTGAATGAGGTGAGCGTTACGTTTACATCAGCATCTGCACCTTTGGTATCTGCAATGGTTTTAGGCTTAAAGCAGGGATACTTTTCCATAGTGTCATGCATGCCTTTCTAAAACAAACTTCTGCTTTTAAAAGAATCTGAGTTGATAAATTGCTGCATTTTGAACTCAAACTTCTGGCAATCTAGTGGTTTCATATTTAGTAAAAGGCATTTATAGAAAAACAAACCCCCACACGAAAGGAAATCACTGTCGGGCAGTTTGGTGGTGGCAGCGGCCCCGGCCCCACAGCTCCTCTTTCGCGCTTCGGAGAAAGGCCGGACACCGACGGTACCGGGCCCGTTACCTGACAGAGTGCTGAGGGCGAAGTAGGCGACGTCGGAGAGCAGTTCAACCTCTCTCCTCCACTCCAGCCACCTCTTGGCACCTGAGGGACGGGGAGATGGTGCCGGTCTGAGCCCTCCGCCGGCAGCCCACCTCCCCCGCACCCCTCGTCTCCCGGTGCCGGAGCAGGGAGGTGGCA